AAAAAAAAAAAAAAAAAAAAAAAAAAAAAAACACATCATAGTAAAATTAATACCTTCTCCGCTTCGCATCGAAGCTAATAAGTTCGTATATTAAAAATTTAAACGTGAATAATAATTAAAGGTACAATTATTATGAAATCACCTAACAAGGAATATCCTATAATAATATGATAGCAATGATAGAATCACATAAATTAGGAATCGTTATCACTTTTAACTTGGCTAATCATGGAACACTCAAAGTTGATAATGTTTCTAACTTTTGTAATAAAGATTAGAGATGAGCATTTTTGTTAAAACGGCACCGTCTTTTACTCTAGGTTGGCACTCACCCGTGTCTCTTTCGATATCAGCCGTGTAGCTATTAATATAACAATCGTTTGTCTCCTCGCCCTTGACACCACGATAAGGCCGCCGCCGAATATGGATTACTGATATTCTGGTCTGTTCCGCTTCCGACGTTCACCTTAACGGTTTGATAATTTTTATGTGTTTTTTTCCACTGGTGTGCAAGTTTGATTGTGTGACTTAATTTTATTTATAACAACTTGTGCGTCTATACTCTTACTGGATTACGCGACATTGTATAAAGCGCTTTAAACGTTATTATTATCCATGGAAAAAAAATCGCGTACTGTTACCCTTAAATAACGTAATAAGCGTTTACTTCTGTACTTTAAATAGACTATCATTTAAAACCATAAAAAAATGATAAAAAAATCAAAATTTAACAAACTTCAAAATGCTGAATAAACGTATCTACTGAATTAAACTAAGAATTTTTGGTATCAACATTTTTTTTAAAACTTTGTCTATTTTGTTTTATCAACTTAATTTTCATAATTTAATAAAGTTCTCTTAATATTCTTAATCAACAAAAATCTTTTTATTGCGTAAATATTTTCAATATTTTCGTGTATCTTATTTTTTACCTTTAATAATTATCCCTAGTTTAAGGTAACAGTCTTCGACATAATAATATATGTACACCATTGGTGACTTTAAATAAAATATATTTTGTTTTTTCTACAAGGTATCAGCATATCATAGTCTACAACAACACTTTATATTTTAGTATATACTTAATATTTAATAGTCCTTGTTTTTTTTTAAATCCACATATTGTCCAGGTGTTTTTTTTTATAGTCGAGACCCTTGCATAAGTGGTTGACGACCACTTATGATTTGTAATATCTATAATTGATCATTTTATCTATTGGGACACATTGCTTCTAAAAAACTGATTTAATTTGCATAAACTTGATAAATGCATTTTAGTGAATCAAATTTTTTAGATGTTATTCAAATAAAAAAGGGTATTATTATCTTCTACCTAAAAATGGTATTTCTATTTTGTCAGAACTTCAGAAATGTCGATATGCATAAGACAAAATTTTAAATTAATATTTGTTTTTCAGAAAAATTGTTTTGGAAAATAGTACAATTTAATACTTTCCCAGCTTACAGGATGGGGTCGGAGGGATAGAGTCACTGATTTTATCAATTTATAAATATATCTAATCTAAATTGAATACAAAATGAGAAGTATTTTTAATTTTTACCAATGTCTCCCCAAGTTGAAAAAATTAATATTGATAAGATTGAATCAACTTAAGTAGTTAATTTTCCCCCAGATAACAAAGGTCTCTTTGAATTATTAATTTTAAGTAATATTTTAAGAAACATATAATAAATTTCATAATATGATGAGGTTTGAAGTAAACAATTTAAGAACAAGCGTTCTCGACAAACAATGTGCACTACCTGGGAAAAAATGACTATCTGAAATGATTAAAAATGTTCAAAATCAGTTTTTTGACTTATTGGAGGCATTGGCGAAAAATTATTATTGAAAATAAATTTTTTTAATTAGATTGTATTCGTTATTAAGTCGTTAAGTAGTTAACATAATCATACATCATTATCAGACCATACAGCAGTGCCTTCACCATCAGGTTTACTATTTTTCCACTGTCCACCATATTGGGTACCATTTGACCATTGAGCTGAGCCCCAACCATGCATTTTATTATTTGACCAGTAACCATAATATTTCATTTCAACAGTATTGAAATCATTATTTCTATCTGTTTGTCCAAAGCCGTGTCTTTTCCCATTAATCCAATTTCCAGAATAAAGTGGATCCTCCTTTTTAGCTGGCACATATGTTCCATATCCATTTCTCATACCATATTCAAAATTACCTTGATACCAACTACCATTTGGCCAATTTATGATACCATTTCCCTTGAGAAAACTGTTGAAAAAGTTACCCTATTTTTCAAGTTAAAACAACTCCATGATAAAAAATATTGTAGCACTTTGGGATCGTGGCACAATGTGTACGTGACATAATTGAGACAAATAATGGTATGACATAATGGTATCTGACAGCAATTAAAATCACTATAATAAGAAACGCTTCGGATTCAAACACTAGCTGTAGTTATTGTTATTTTTACGATTTAGGTAAATTATTCCAATAGAAAAATTAACTCTTATTTTTTGTTAAACATTGACTGCCATTTGTACATAGAAGATACTCAAAATGACACCTTCTTCACAAAAAATTAAAATTTTCAAGTTTACTTTTGATAGTGTTCCGGAAACTGACACATTTATATATATATCTTAAATTAAAGATAATGTAATATACTTTATTCTTCTTATTCTTTTTCCTCGTTTTAATCGCAACTACTTGGGGTCGGCCACCCTTATACAAAACTTCCACTTGACACGATCTCCCACATCATCTACGTTCACATCAGCTGTCGTCTTATCACATCCTATAGCAACCCTCCATCTCTTTTTTGGTCTTCCTTCAACATTCATTTCTATAACTGTTCTTACAGCGATTCTTCTCTCCTCATAACATGACCAAACCATCTAAGTCTATTTTCTCTCATCTTATCCACGATTGACGCTACACCTATACTCCCTATAATATGCTCGTTCCTTAACCTGTCTTCTCTAGTCACTCCACTCATCCATCTAAGCATTTACATCTCTGCTCTACTTTCTTATCAACCGTCCAACACTCTGAACCATACATCATAGCTGGTCTCACTAGAGTCTTGTAGAATTACCTTAGTGACACGGCCCGCGTCGCTTCGTTATACACGATGCCCCGCGACTCGTGCCACCTTTATCAGCCGTCGCCCTACTATGAATATTTGACTGACCAACACCGCGTGTTATACGCTACGGTGCAAAGTCCAGCAAATGCCGCACGGCCGACGACGACCCGCCGAAAATGGTGCGAGAGTCTTCCTCCCGTTGTGAAAGCGACAACGTCGACCAACCGAACCGCACCCGCGCACCGTCGCCTACAACGCTGCTAACCATTTGCCGTCCAAGGATTACGCCGGACATCGCGTCGTCGACGCCAGCGATAGTGCCGCGATATTATGCGAAGATTATTATTACTGTGTTAATCTTTTCGGTTTGTTTTATTTTTGTTAAAATAATCTGTTGTCGCTCATTTAATAAATGGCCCATGGGTCTATACCCTCAAAACCAGTGTCGACCACATTTTTGCGACGTAAGTCGTATCATTAGTAAACCCAACCTTGGAGCATTCCAACTCTTACCCGAAAACCTTCTGTTACTCTTCCTACGTTTTTTACACTGGTACAAGTGCAATCACACATATCTTCTATTATATTAATATACATTTTCGGGTCTCCTTTTTTCAATAATGCCCACTTTAAACCTCTCTCGGTACTCTATCATACGCTTTATCCAAATATATAAAAACCATAGACAGCTTTTTCTTCTTTTCCCTAAACTTTTCTATTAGTTGCCTCACACAAAATACTAGTTCCATTGTTTACTTACCAGGCATAAATCCAAACTGGTTTTTAGATACAGATGTCTCATTTCTTATTCTCTTATCTATTACGTTTTCCAACATTTTCATACTATAACTCATAAGCTTTATGACTATAATTTCCATACTCCTATATGTCACCTTTACCTTTAAATATCAGGAACACAATACTTATACCACAACTTCCATTCATTTGGAATTTTCCTTTCCAATAAGATTTTATTTAAAAGTTTCTTCAACCACCTTATGCCAACACCGACTAATATTTTCCATACTTCTACTGGCATTTCATCTGATCCCACTGCTTTATCTCTTTCATTGATACCATAGCCTCCGATACCTCTTTTTTACTAATTAAATGCCATCACACAATCTTCGATTAAAAATTAAATATTCTACTACGTAACTTGAATCCATCCAGATTATGCAATATTAAACGTTTGGTCATAAAAAGAATCACCGGAAATGTTATTGAATCAACCATTTTGACAGAAAGATTTAAAGGAGAAATTGTTCTGTTGCCACGTATCCCAATGATTCCGTCAGATACCACAATATCATTCAAAAGGCTTCAATTCCCTGTTCGATTAGCATTCGCAATGACCCATTAACAAATCTCAAGGGCAGAGAATGTCCATTTGTGGCTTATATTTAGAAAATCCATGTTTGTCCCATGCTCACAGCCTCCCATTACTCTTTCTTACTAATTAAATCTACCACTCCCTCATTTTACTAGATATCCTCTAATGTCACTTTTAGGTACTTCTAATTCAGTAATTTTTCAAAATACTCTTTCCTCCTTTTTTCACATCATCATCCATCATTCGAGAGTACCTTACTATCAACACTTTTTATACATCTTATATAATGATAATCTTTAGACTTTTTCTCTCTTATGTTTGCAAGTCTATAAATTTCTTTCTCGCCTTCCTTTGTTCCTAGCCTATCATATAACTCATCATATCTCTTAAACTTCGCCTTACTCTCTGCACAAGCTTTTCTACTCCATACAGTCTTCTCTCCTTTTGCTCATCTGCCATACTTTGGATTGCTTTTTCTTTCTTTCTATGCATTTTGGAACGTCCTCATTCCACCACCAGGTTTCCTTGTTTCCTGGCATTATACTCCTACTCTCACCAACAATCTCTTTTACAGTATTCTTTACACAACTAGCAAATCTATTCCACACATCCTTTATGTCTCCCTTGACATTCCACACTATACTCTCTTTTACCGTCTTTACAAACTCTTTTTCATTTTCCCCTTTCAATTTTCACCACCGGATCTTTTGATTTTCCCCTGTGATCCTTCTATTTTTTTTAATATGGTTGCGCCGCTGGAGTGACATCGTGTTATATAATTCCTCAATTTTGGCTTATCAAGATACGAACATAAGGAAAATTTGCGTATAATAAGGCTATGGCTATTGCTTATGTATATCATAACCCCAAAAATTAATAAGCTTATGGCTCAAAATCACCAAGGTGCAGAATTGGCTTTAGTAGCAATTAAAAGTCTCAAATCTTGAGTTTATTGAAAAAATATAATTAATTAAACACTACAACTAACTTGTTTTGATTATAAATTAAACAATACTGTTGATAAATTAAGTAAATTTTAAATTATATCAAAATATATGCATAAAAAATCATTACGGGAATGCGTCCCAATGTACGATGTTCAACAAAAACTCCAAGATACTAATGAAATATTCAAACTATTTAAGACGGGTCAATACTTAATATACCCCAATTTTTATTCAAAGGCCAGAGAATGTCCATTTGCGGATTATATTTAGAAAATCCATGTTTCTCCCATGCTCCAGTGTTGGTAAACCGTCAAATTTATTCATATTAGCAAAGGACACATTAACTATAAATATTCTGCACCAAATAGCGCTTATTAAATTTAATATTATCAAACATAATAGTAACATAATTGTTTGGAGTAAAAATCAACCTTTGATTCCTCATTGATTCATTTTAATTTATAGAAATATAGAATTTTGATATTACTTCATTATTATTTATTGTAATTGAATTTCTGATAAATAAAATATAAAATCAAAAAAATTTTTTGGTTCGTTCTTCATTGCAAACCATTAAAAATTATATTCAATGATAATCTCCGATAGCTCAGATTCATACATTTTATAAATATTTGCACAAGTATGTTACATAATTGAAAATAATATTAATCGTATAATAATCAAGCCATAACGAAACGTAGCTTGGTCATCTAGTATATATATATTACACTTATAAATCATAAAACTTGTAATTAGGATATAAATAAGGAAATAGAAGATGTAGCTTTTGATCAGATTTTCATCAGTTTTTTATAATCGTGATTTTAATTACTGTCAGAGATCATTATATTTGACCCAACTATGCCTTGTAACCAGTGTGCCGCGACCCTCCAGTGTTGGGTTTTTATTCTTTGAAATTGAAGTATATTACATAAGGATTAATTTAGGAATATGTAATTAAATTTTTGGTGGATTAGTTATTTTTTGAATCCCCTTTGAGGGAAGATAGTGTCAAATTTTTAAAAATATATATACCAAATGATAGGTAAATATCTGATGTGTCTTTAAAATAAAATTGTTTCTATATCCTATTTTAAAACATATGGAAGTAAACAAGTTGAAAAAATGTCAAAATTGACCTTTTTTATAATTTTAATTCTCGTATGATTTACCCTATTTACTGGGAACGATGGACATTTTTTCAATATTTAAGAGTTCACGAATTTAACTCTATACAATTTATGATCTTTTGACATATTATTCATCAAAATGACAAAGTGAAAATACTGAACAAAGAAGCTTATTTTGGCAATCGGATGTACAAACAAGCAATAGAAATCGAAATTTGTCCTGAAAATTAAAACAGAGAAGAGGGATGGACTACTAGTAAAATTTGGTTAACTATCATACACCAGACAAATGAAAAACAACACACAGTAATAAAAATAGCTTGATGTGTGAAACAACTACAATTAACATAACAGAAAATTTCCGTCGTAGAAAAGGAAGAGATTAATGTCAAGAAATCTGTAAACAACAACAAAAACCAGATATAAACAACAAACCGATAGCTGTCAGAAAAATATTACAAAAACAACAGATAAACAATATCGACGTTATCAGTTACAACTGATATAAAAACATACCACTATCGTAAACTCATTTAAATTATATTACTTTTATTATATAACAATCAGAAAATGTATCTAAGTATTATACTAATATTTAGAAAGTAATTATTAGTACTTTAAATTATATGTTAATTTTATCATTGATTGATAATGACATCATTCTTAGTAAAAAGGCATCTGACTACTTATTCGGTGGTCAGTGATTCATCGATGAATGTTACATTATAGTTATTATTTTGACTCTTCACGAAGACACTTATCCGCGTGGTCAAATTTGAACACCCCA